AAATATGAGCAGCATTGACAATACACACTGGTCTCGACACTGTATCGCAAGAACAAAAAGACTGTAACCGCGTGAAATCGGCTGTCCGTTGTAATCAAACGATAAGGCCGGATGACAAATCCGCGAATACGAAAGGGGTCGATGCACGAGTCGCGTGACTAGCCTCGAAACAATCTCTCGTTCCAAATGCGAATGGCAAAGGGAAAAAAACGGGACACGACGGAATAGCCACGATAATAATTAGGAAGCACGTTGGCGGTATCTCTGAAAAGATCGTTCCACGAGGAACACGTGTTATTACCGTGGTTTTTCTCTGTCGTGCGTTTTCCGTCGCGTGTTTGTTTTCCCCAGCCCTTCGACACTCCGCGGAATCGCGACACGGTTAAATCGCGCACAATAGAATTTCAATTACGTAGCGCCAGGATTCTTACCCACGTAATACACGGTGACGAAAAAAGCGCGGGAAACGTCTCGAGGAAACGCGTTTCGAAACAATTAGCGATGTCGCTGATGAGAATCGTCGGCGATAAAAGAGAACAGGAGTCGAAATATCGAAACGGAAAAGTAAATTAACCGAATGAAACGTAACTCGATCCGAAAGAAATACAACGGGAAACTCGAAGGAAACTCTCGTAACGCGATCGATGCCGGAACTTTTGTTGCGAACCCGCCACGTTATCGCGCATCGAATTGGCAAAGTTCGCGAGTCGAAACGCGTGCCGGATGAACTTCCCCGAAACGCTATTCCGTCGATTCTCCGCCAACCCTCTTCCTGTTTGATAACGAGTTTTTATCGATCCGTTTACGCGCGTTCACCAAACGTTCGCCAACGATCAACCATTTTCTACCAGCTCGATTCTTTCGCTAACGGAGGGAATGTTTCGCTGTGATCGAGGATCGATTTCTCTTCAGGAACGAGTTCGAGAAGTACATTGATCAGCTTCGAACAACCCTTACAGTTATTATTTGTTTCATAATTTAAGACACGTACATATTTTTTTGTTCATGAAGAAAGGATTCGTTGACATAATTCTCGAATTTAATAGGAAAAGTTTATGAACATAGAAACGTCCATTATTAATTGTACCTTAAAATTTCAGCAGCTAATATGTCATTTAAATTCTTCAACACGAAAGAATTTACTTGCATATTATTTCTATCACTCCTCGAATTATGCAAGTAACAAATTGAAAATATGTACGAAATTATTTAACAAAATTTAGTGAAACGTTGTTTGAAATTGATTATTGTACAAATATCTTCACATCCATCGACATCGAAAATAGCAAAAATTCTCGACAAACAAGCAATAAATTTTAGAGTTTCATTTACGATGTAGTAAAAGGTTTAAGTACAATCACACTAAAATAATTTGTTAAAAAATTCGTTCCTGAAGAGACTAGACGTTAAAACTACTTATTTCGCCAGCGATGTTATCGATTGTCCTTCGACGAAGCAACGGAAGTGCGCCAAGTGAAAATATTCCAAGGGTGATAAAAATAGGGGAAAAAAGAGGAGGAACACGTGTACATATTTAAACACTAGAGATTTGACTATAAACAGCGAATCATCATCGTTTTTAGTGTACATTACTTTGTATCATAGCCTACGAACGTTTAGCTAGATAACTTTTTTGAGGTCTTACAAAGAACGAAAGAAGAAGAGCCACAGGTTCTGGGATTTTTCGTTGACGATCGATGATCATAAATCTTTGTTATACCGTTGTGACAATGTAGCAATCGATTTAATTAAACTTCACCGAATTTCGTATCTCAGAGGATGACGTACGAAGAACGAGAGTTCATTCAAGATCCTTTTGTACAAACGAACGGAGTCAATTGATCAGAAACGATGCTCTTTTTTTGGTGTACTTTAATCAAGATTCTTTCCCTGTCTTTTCGCGGTGTTCGATAAATCGTTTCCGTGTTCGATCGCGATTCAATCCCGAATTCCTTGCGTTGGGAACACCTCTGGAAAATCATTGGCGTAACTAGGTACTAAAGTGGGCCTGATCTCAAATTTCCAAATTCTCGTCAAGCTTCCAAAGTTCCAAACTTCCAAACTTCTGAGAGCCAATTTCCAAGTCCCCGAATTTCTAGATTTCCAAATTTCAGACGAAAATCCTGACGATCATTCGCACAAGATCTTCCGTTAGTAAAGTAAATTTAGTAAAGACAGGGAGCCGGAGTGAATGAAAAAGTGAATGAATGGAACAAAGATTTTTTTCCTTGAGAATCGAACGTAACGCAAAATCCAGCAGTCTACTCTTCGAAAACGACAGTGTGTGCCAACAAACCTTTTTATTCCGAGTGTAGCTAACGTCTGACGTGTTTCGCGATAAATATACCCGTAAGAATATGTAAGTACAAACGAACGAAAGATAACGGAAAGAAACTGGAGGTATCGCGACGTGTTGCTTTCAAATTTTCGATGTTTTCCGCGTCGCGGCAGTCGACAGGTGTAATAACGCGTGCCCTTATCAACGTTTGCGCTTTTCATCCCTCCCCGTCCCAAAAGGATCATCCTTTAGAATTTCGTGCATTTTGCTTCTTCTGTTCTGTTTCTTTTGTTTCCCAATGCAAAGGACCTATGTTTCAGACGAGACACGTTCCTTTTCTTTCTTTCTTTCTTGCAAAAGATAACAAAAAAACGACGAGACCAAAGAGATGTTTATTTTAATGTTGTGTATATTATTATGAGTTTATGTCGTATAAATCGATGCATTTATCCATGCGAGTGCTTTATACTTTTTATTCTTTTTCTTCTAATTATTATTTTTATTATAATAAGTTCCATATCGTAAGTTTCATCGAATAAGTTTTTCGTTGTAATCATCGATTGGCGATCTTTTATATTTAAGATGTACATTTCCGTTTGTCCATCATTATAAATGCTAACAATTATTATCATCATCATTATTACAGTTAATTATTATTATTTATAGTTAATTGATTTACGTGCTAATGATTAAGCAGCCAGTGCCGTTTATACTTCTCGTAGAGTGTAACATGTATCAGCGCTGTTATCGTATTTTATTAAATCTTTGCCATATAATAAGTTCCGACAGTCTCACGTTTTCATCATCCCATTCACGCGATGCAGTCTTTTTCCTTATTCCCATTACTACCATTGGCGTAACTAGTTACCTGAGGGCTACGTTCATAGTCCTTTATATTTTTAAATCCTCAAATTCACGTATCCTTTAAATTCCTTGCTTTCCAAGTTCTGAAGTTCTTAAAACTCCAAACGTACACATATCCAAATTCTTAAATAGCCAAATTCCCACAATGTTCTCCAAATTTTCAAGCCTCTAAATTCTCAAATTTCCAGATCATTTAATTCGTTTAAAACGTAGTTAGTGACTACATGATACTCTTAGTAAAACTAGAGGATCTAGCCCACTGTAAAAAGATGCTAATTACGCCAGTGGTCGCAATCCTTTTCACCGTCCCCATCATTTCCCGCACAACGAAGTCAATCTTTAAGAACGCGTCCCCCGTGGGTTGTCCACGTTGTGCCGCATTTGCTTTAATTTTTTAGCGAAAGACTAACTGCAAACAGTAGGGAACTGGGAAATGAAAGTAAAGATACTACAATAATACCGGAAGAATAAAAGCCTTTTGAGACGCGAAGAGAGAACGAGGAACAAGTGGTCCGGATGCACTCGAACATTGCGTCTTTCGCAGAAATTTGCACGAAAAGCATCGCACGCGTGCAATATCGAGCGATTCCGCGTTTCGAAACCGCACACTTCGGAACGTATTGTTGCTTTGCAGTCCCGGAAATGCACTTGAGCACGCATCCCTATTTCGCCGTAGCAGTCTTTCGTTCCCCGGTGCGAGAAACGCAATTCCTTTGTTCGCCAATCCTCCTCCCTGGTTAACAAGGACTCTTTTCTTTATCACGCGAACCTGCAACGTGTACTCTGCGTTTTACTGCTTCTTGGAGAGACCTAATATTATTTTCTGTCTAACGTGGCGATTATTGTTTCGTACGTTCGAACTTCCGGGCCTTGCAACTGGTGCGCAAGGTTTAGGACTCGAACTCGAGGGGTAGCTGCAAGGCCTGGAATTTCTGTTCCAGTGGAGTCTCGATATATGGCCGTGACGTAGAAAAAGTCATATAAATTCCTAAATTTGAAATTTCTAAATTCGCGAGACTGCACTGCACCTCCCGCGTTACTTCCTGATTGGATCGGTGACTTTCGTTCGAACCGTAAAATATCGGTTCCGGGTAAAAATTCCAACTGTCTCTGTTCACCTCGAGGGAAATAAAATAGATGATTTTCACACAGTACGCAGTTCAGTGAACTGTAAACAAAAGCAATGAAAGAAAATAACGCTATTTTTATATGTTGCATCGTCAGCCGTGGTAACCTATAGTTGTACGGAACTGTGCTTTGAGTTCTTCTCCTCTTTGTATTCGTGTATCGATTGGGCCAATTTCGTGTCACCCTCATTTCGATCCTCCCTCCTTGATGAAAAAGAAAAATGAAAAAAGTAATAATTTTTCAACGCGATCGCAATATTGCAGCGTACTCGGATGTCCACCGAAGAACCGCTGTTTCTTTGACTGTGGTTTCATGATTTTGACGAACGATATCGACCGTATTTTTTTATACTTTGTAAAGCTCGGGTTAAATATCGTTTCAAACGGTGTCGTTAGAAATTGTGAGAGGCATTCTCGTATGATTTGACGAAGAGTGTTCCGTTAATATTAGTATCATCATTAGCAGCTTAGAAACGAACGACAGAGATACAATTTCGGAAGATGATCCAAAGGATGCTCTTGCTCACAATTGATCTAGATTACTACATTAAGATTTACTATTATTGTATTATTATTACTATATCTACATTCCTTTTAAGAATCTACCACTATTACTTTACGAAACCATCTGTAAATAAGTATTTTGTATTCCTGCAAGAATAAAATTACGAATCATTATCGTTCGTCTAATAATTTCCACCACCATGTAGAAAGTACGAGTCCAAGAAATATTCTTCACAAACTTTATTCATGCATTCTTTCGATAATGGTTACAATACGCTTTTAATTCGGATAAATAACATAAAATGTTACTAACAATTTACTTCTACAATTTTTTAACATTTGTAGTATACGATAATATCGTTCAAAATTTTAACATTAACCACAAAGAATAATAAACTAGCAATCCAGATATACGTGAAAGTATTCATTCCTTTAAATTCCAGTAGATAAGCGGCCAATAACCACAGAGCTTGGCTGAAGATCCAAATAAAACATAAACATAGTGATCTACGAATGCTTAATCCAAAATGCGGGAGACACAATGGTAAAAGCGATAAGTACCAGAAGAAGTACTGAGATGTTAACACTGGATTGTATGTTACCACCACCATAGCTTGCGTGAACATTGCAAATGGTAATTGAGACTTGTCCGAGTATTTGTACGACAATAACAATAGCAATAATAACTGAGGCAGAAACGTAAGGGTTTTTTGAATTATACTCGATGGTTGATTCGCCGATAAATATAACATGTAAAAATAAACCGAGAAGTTATGTTTCGTGTCCTTGCGCGTTAAGTGATAAAGGAAGCTCTCGTAAAGATACTTGTAACCATAGAAATAGTAATTTATAACAGCTAATAAAATTGTCAAACAAACGCAACTAAGTACCAACTTGATCTGATTTTTGTTTGGCATCAAGTAATTTTTGCTGCGAAGAGAAAAATACATGGGTATACTAAAAATTAGAGGATATAATCTAAAGTGAATTGATATAGCGTGTAAGAAGCCTGCTTGAATATATTTGTCTTGAAGAAACGTGTATAAGGTTAACATAACTAAAAGAACGGCTACGGAATCTGCATTTCCCCTGGTTGAAATTATAATTACGAAAGGGTTGTACAACCATAACAAAGTACAAATACTCTTTAAGTTCTCGTTAGTATGCTGCAATGATAAAATTTTATGTATCAAAATTCCTACTAAAATGTCAACGAAAGAAAACAGGACTTTCCCGAAACTATTGTGCAAAAAGATATTCGGTGTTAAAAGCAAAGCTAATAAGGGTGTGTAGCGGTAAGTAGATCGTTCAAAGGGAGATGATCCTTGTACCATGTGTCTCGCTGCATCGGTAAACACTGTATAATCAACATCAGTGTATGGAACACTGAATGTTTTATCGTGAAAATATGAGTAAGTAACTAAAGTTATTCTAATTAAATAAGCTAATGTACAGTGTCCCTTAAGTGATAGCTTAGCCATTTTAAAAAGCAAAATATACTTTTTATAAAATCTACCAATTAAACATAAAGTCTCTGTTCCATTTAATACAAGACCACTTTTTATAATCTTGTATTGTTTTTTACAGCAGCTTTCATCAGACAAGCTTTAAACTCCTTAAATTCACTGTCACAATCATGTTTGTTCAAGTTAGATTTTGCCAATACACACGCAGCATATTTAGCACCAGATTCGTGACACTGTGCAACTAGAATTGGATATTTTCTAAATCGTTCTTTCGCTTTTTTTACTGCTTCCATCTTTTATAAACAAACTATATTAAATATTGTTTAATATATGTTTTTACTATCTATTGATACATTACTGGTTTGATAACATTGTCTTGTTTATGTATGTTTGGGTTTGTTTTTACGTGGAGGTTCATTAAATCCCATTTCATAGATTGTCCACGCAGCATAAGCTACTCCACAGGTTATAGTAATTCTACGATAGAATCTTATTTTTTCTGACAACATGATGGATTTATCTTTGAACCTTTCTCTGAAATGAAAATCAAAAAACAAATGGTGGTTAATGGTTCCCAAGGACGAAATAATTAAAAAAGATTTGTTAAACTTACATAATCTACTGTGTTATGCTCGTAAGGTTTTGAAGTATCTATACCGTCGCAAACTATTGACACAGCAGCATGTACCATGCAACACTTCCTTATTTCTTCTATTACCGATTCACAGCGTGACGGTTGATAAACATTGTCTGAAATATAGGTTAAAGATATAGGTTAAAAATAATAAATGAATTAAAAGGAATCTTAAAACACGAACCTTTTAAGCACTGCTGTAATTTGCATGCAAATTTTTTACAAGGATCAACTGTTGTCATGCGAAAATCGGGGATATTCTTCCTGATCTTAAAAAATAATTAAATAAAGATTACGTAAGTTCACCGATACAATCGTCACAGTTGCGTTTTACAATCAGAATTAATCAAATTAAAATTCTATAATTTAGAACAAATGAAATACTAATCATTTAATAAATAACTACTTGGGCGTTAACAAAAGACGTGGAAAAATCTTGATTCTTACAAGTTATTGTAAGCGAATTACGAACACAACATAACCTCACCTATGACAAAAGTTGCTGCCGAATGTAGATGGCACCTGGAGTGTCCTCCTAACAGCAGCCGACACGAACTTTTTTTTATATACATAGTCATCAACGAATGTCTTGTTAGGTTAAATTATACAAATTGTGTATCAGTATTTACAACATTACAATGTTGGGGAAAATTAAAACGAAGCAAGAAAAGGGAGGTAAGTAACAAAGTATCAATGAATTCGTTACTCCTAATATTTTTAACAATTTATATTGCTGATCGTTTATAGTGTTTACTACAGGTTATGTTTTGTTTAATGACATTGTATATACATAAATATAAAATGTTCTTTATGTATTACAATTCAAATCAGATTAAAAATTGTTTATAATCTCTGTACTTTATTCACCTACACAACAAACAATATAACTACTAGGGTACAATATACATTTATTTTTTCCAGAGATTATTGCATATAGCGAAGCAGCTGTTGTAAATAATGCTGCTGTAGTAGAATATTGCAGGATATCAATGGCAGCTTTATCAGGTGGTACAGCTGGTTTACTAGGGTTAACAGGTTTATATGGCTTTGGTTTTTACATTTTTGCTGTATTTGGATTGTGGGTAAGTATTAGGTATTTGGTGGGATTAAAATACAATAATGTACATCAACAATTAAACTTGAAATATATTTGCAGGCAATGTTACTATTGAAAGCTGGAGGACAGTGGAAAAAATATTTTATAAGCAGACGGAATCTCTTGACAAGCGGATTTTTTGGAGGTCTTTTTGTATCCTTTAAATAATTGTCAAATAATGCATTTCAGATTGTTATTAAAGTATTTTCCTTAACAGAAATTATTGAAATGAACAGACATATGTGCTATTTTGGACGTATCCTTTAAAACCATAATTATCTTTGTTTCAGTATGAAAATGAGATTAGATATTCATCAGGTATATTGTCTATTTTCCTTAATTCCAAATTAGATTTTTATATGGTATGGTACATGTATACTGATCAAAAGTATATTTAGGTCTAAGGTTTATATTTTTTAACTAAATAGGTATGTCGTTAATTAATTGAATATATCACAAACAATTGCCAGTCGCTGAACAGAGTAATAACATTGTTGAAAAAGCACTATGTGATTTATTGTATATGTATGTACATAGGACACTTTCAAAAATATATTTATTCCATCGTTCCATCCGTTTAATCGTGTTCATTATTGTACCTTTCTTCAAGCACAAATTGTTGCATTAAATATATTTATATCTACATTTATTTTCTTGTGTATGTAACATGTATGTAACGAATTATATATTAGACAAATAATGTAAAACAGTGAATAAATTTGTTAAATGGTTAAAGCATTGTTCTAATGAAACATTTGAATCCCTCCTTTATTTAATTATGGACGTAAATAAACGAATACATATTTCGCATCAAGTAAAACATTCCAATTTAAAAATAAAGCTTTTTACAATCTCTTCATTTTCGAAAGGACGATCGACAATAGCACTGATTTGTACTTAATATGCTCAATTTTTTATTATAATTTTGAGTTACTGTGGTAGTTACAAATCACGAATCGGAAAGAGTTATACTGGCAGTGAAAAGATAAATTTCGTTAAGCGTCGTCAGCGCAAGAGTAAGCAAAATTTTCTGTTACATTGTCGTGTGGGTAATTAAAGAGGGTCAATGATCAAGAGAATTAAATTTTTGTTTCGGAACTTTGTTCAGGAACAGGTGCACTCTCGCACTGACAATTTTCCGAGATGTCCTCCAAAGGTGTTCCCTTTTCGAGGCCTTCCAGCTTCCTTTCTTGATCCATCTTCTCCAGTTCGTTTTTGCTCAAGTGATAAACTATTCCAGCACCGTATCCATCTCCTAGCACGTTTATCGAAGTCCTGATTCGGTCCCTTAAAATAAAAATTGAACTATGTAGCAATTGTTCGATACGATTTGAAAAAAAGAAAATTGTAAGCTTACAGTAACCAATCGACTGCGAACAACAAAGAAATATCATCGGTGGGCAAACCCAACGCCGTAAGCACGATCAACATTGTAATCAGGGCAGCACTGGGAATACTAGCAGCCCCTATACTTGCCAAGGTGGCCGTAAGGCTGTACGTACGAAGGAGAGCGTAAATAGATAATGAAGTTGGTACTTGTAGCATTGATTCTACTAACCTGACTGTTATAACTTCGCCTATTCCCAACGAGATTCCATTCACCTGAGCAATGAAAATCGCGGCTACGGCCTCGTAAAGAGCCGTCCCGTCCATGTTCACCGTAGCTCCTACGGCTACCACGAACCGAGTCACTCGTGGATCGATTTTGTTATTTTCTTCGAGGCAACGGAAAGTTATGGGCAATGTAGCGGCACTGTAAACATCGAACACGAACATAAACCATTTTTCCAGGAGTTTAAGGTACACTTTGGTACAAGAAAAGAAGAGCTGATCGCTACCTCGACGCTGTTCCCAAGGCTGTTACCCAAGCCTGCATCATACCTTTGAAGAAGATGGCAGGATTCTTTCGAGTCAAGAACCAAAATATCGCCGGCAGAGTGATTATAGCGTGAATTAATAATCCCAGGATAACGGTCAGCATATACAGACCCAACATTTGTGCGGTCGCCGCCAGATTGGCGATCGACATTATCTTGCCAGCTATCAGACACATGATTCCGAACGGAGAGTACCTGTACGACATTAAAACTCGAACCGACGCTCTTCTCGGCCTGATCACGATTGGGGCGAGTAGCAAGGCCAACTACCAAGCGTGAAATTAAGTTGTGTCTCGATCGCTCACCACATCACAATGATGCCGACGAGTTGCATGATTATTTCGTTCAGTACCACGAAGAAGTCGACCATCAGTCTTCCACGAGGACCGATCTGTCCCGCTAGAAGGCCGAACGTGATACAGAACACTATCATGCCCATCACATTCGTCCCGTCCTTGTAGACCAACGTCGGTTCTAGGACGTAATCGCTTTGGTTCGCGCTCCCTACGACTATCACCTTCTTCTTCACGTACGCGGTCTGAGCCTGCTGGAAGCACGCCTGTACCAAGTTTTCCGGCACCATGTTTCTAGAAATGACATCCATCATTGCTGCTCGATAACTCTGTGCTTATTTCACGTACCTAACTATGTCGAGAATGGCATCCAAGGTGGAAACTTTAGCGTCGTCCGCCTTGGGTGCACTTATCGTGATCTTGATCCTGGGATCACCTGGATGGATCATTAGCACCATCATGATACCGACCACGGCTGCTAGGACGGTAGTCACCGTGTAATACGTTAACGCTCTGAATCCCATTCTTCCCGAACTTCTGGCGTCCAATTGTGCCATCCCTAGGGAAGATAGAACTTAGCAATTCAACGAATGACCGTTGGAATGTTGCATAATCACCAGCGATAAGCGAAGAAATAATAAGCGGTAATATGAACATCTTTAACAATCGCATCAGGAGTTCTCCGGGAAAACTGATGAGAGTAATGGCCTGTGGCGAAGGATTGAATAACCGACCGAGGAATCCAAGAATCAGACCCAACAGCACTCCGGCAATCGTCAGGATCAGGAGCATATTCTCCCTCATCCAATCTACCACCTGCTCGACAACATCGTGCATACATACACTTTAGCAAGCCTATTCCATTATTGGAAGATTAAGTAATCTAAAATACTTCTAAATTTTTAAAAGTTTGAAACCCCAAATTAAACATCTAAATTCCAAATCTTCAAACTCTCAATATAGTCTGAAAATGTGATAGTTTGAAAACTTTTTGATAAATTCCCAAATTTTCCCTCGGGTAAATTGCTGTGCAGTTACTAACTGCCTGCAGTCTGTCAAGTGGCGACGTCTGCTGACGAACTTTCTCCTCGACCACGGTAGTTATCTTCTCGATCTCGTCGGAGGATGATCTGCAAATTGTTCCCGATCAGAAGATGGTTCAGAAACAAGTAGAAGATTGCAGGTCTTACGTGGCAGCTTCTTTAACCTCCGAGGTGCCCCTGAGGACCGCGACGGCCCCAGATATACGTTGACCCAGCGTCATCGTTGATTGATCTGGTACAACACGTCGCCTTAAGAATACGCGTTCAGCCTTCCTCTGGGCACGAGGAAGATCGTGGAAGACTTGTCCTCTATCATCCCGCGACTCTCATCCTTATATCTGCTTCTCCACGTATCATCGCCGTATAAATTATCATTGATCATCAAACTCTAACTCGAGGAAGATCTTAAACTGCAATTAGAAACTTGATTTTCATCGTTTCGTTCCGTGACGGTTAAACGTTAAAATTGTCCCATCAAGTCGTTCCTCGACGAATCGATTAACGAAAGGTCGCGAACGTCGAGGAGTATTCATGCAAATCGACGCAGCATCCAAACCGGAACGAAGAAGATTTGGTTTCTCGCAGAAGGTCGCACCTGAATCGCCGAGTAACCGATGCACCGTTTCAGGATCACTGAACTGATACGATAGAATCGTATAACGAGCTAAGTGACATCCGTAATCCGTGGATCTTGGCAGGTCTTTTACGCGCAATGGACCACTGCCGAGCGACTACTACCGTATGATCGAATCCCCGGGACTTGGCTAGGTATCGCGTCGTTACGATCTGCCATCACGTAGATAATGTGCCCCATCCAGGAAGCTGATTAGAGCTCGCGAGGAGACGGAGGGTGAACGCTGACGGAGGAAAGGGAGACGCGTCGGAGAGCGAAAGAGACGGCCGGCACAGGAAGAGGGCACTCATCACAACGGGTCGCACGGCACTGAATAAGCAGAAGGGAGAAAAATATGTACCACGCGAGTCTGTTTCATCGAAATAGATCCGTCTTTATTGGGTCCACGGCATCGGTTAAATTGCTCTAAATGGAGAACACCAGAACGGTTCATCCCTTGACGCGCAACCCCCCACGGTGTGATTGAAACGTGTGTTACGTACACGAAACGATGTCATCTTCTAATCGTTCTTACATTCCTTCTTCCACGAAACTCCTATATTTTACCCGTAACAATGTTCAATCATCGTTGCAACTACGAAAATGGCTTCAGATTTCTTACTCGCATCGTTTCGTTAAACGAAATGTACATAAACTTTCATTGGGATTTAATTATTTCAAAATAGCTTTGCGTAAATACGACATATTTTAGAGACTTACTCTCCCAACTGTACGAGCGATTATTTGTAGATGGGACAAATCTTAATCGAGTGTCCGACAACTCGATACGTCGTCACGTATTTGCCAGCTAACGAGTCGGAGTATTAAAGTACACTCGGGAGAAAGATTGTAGGCGTACCTATTGTATGCACGTGCTATTTGGAAGACCTGGTTCCGTCGAATCAAAAGCAACATGTTAATTTGTTCTCCATTGCCAAGCTGAAGAATAAATCACGTCCAGTGAAGATGCGTATCGTTTTCGCTTCGTTGAAATGTTCATCAAGAACTCTGCAGCCTTGACCAATATACAGAATCGTGCAAAATGGTCATTTGAAAATATACGCAAGATTTATCGTCGCGTTATTATAGGATTTCTGATTATCGAATTCGCGGAACGAATTGTTGAAACCACAATGGAATTTGCTGTTACATTTTCCGTAATTGATGACCAGCTCGTTCATTTTAATCTCGTTACATTCATCAGAATTTTTATCAGATCGAAATTGGAACGTTTATGGTGACTTATTTTGAAAGCATGTAGGATATGGACCAATTTGTAGGGCCCCTTTGTATATCCGTTGGAAGGTAACCTAATTTCTGCAACGATGGCTACGTACGTCTATATACAAACCAATATCAGGCTCACTATGGATCGCAGATGTGTAATACGAGAATAAGTCAATTGTCATCTTGAAGCATTCTACACTTTATTAAACATGGTGTACAAAAATTCCCTTCTTGCAGGCGTCTTGATAGCTGAAAATGTTGAAGTCATCCTAATGTCTGTTTCTTTAAATTCGTATTTCCAACAATTCACATACTCGCAATATGTTTTTATGCTATTCTACGCAGATGTCGAATGTATTTCGACGGAAATGGCCCACGAAAACATTGGCGTAACTCAAACTTTTGTATTGACCACATTTCTTTTGCTAAACAAAATCCTCATAAATACATGCATAAATGTAATGAAAGAACTATAAAATGGCTTCAGGAATTAAAAAAACATTGTATTACTTTTCTCATCACTGGATCAAATGTTGATTTTGTTAATTTTACTGCTACTTATGCCTTTGTTATTCTTAATTTTGTGAAAAATACCATATTTTGGAAGAACAGCTTCACCTTAGTCAGTTGTTACGCCAATGAAGATGACACATGCCAGTCCAACTCGATAACATCAATACTTATTTTACCAAATGTGAAATATTTTCAAGATGGAAGGGCGCAACCTTAAAATAAGAACGACGTTCGACTCATCTCACAATCCTGTGCCTGCCCGAAGAAGATTCACATACTTCCGTTTTACAATTTCCTCAAATTTTGTAGAAACATGTGCGGAGTAATTACAGTTAAAATATTAATTCTATGTCTGGTGCTCGATGCAGTCTGCGCTTATCAAAGAAGACCATGGAACGCTGAAAATACAGAAAGACCAGGGTGAGATTTTAACATTTTAGCTTTTAAGTACATAAAGGTAAAATGTTGAGCAAGAGATTTAAATTATCTAGTCATATGGTAATTACATGTTTTCTTTTTTAGACCCAACGTGTGTGCCGTAGAAGTGAACGACGATATAAATTACACTTATTACACCGAGAGCCAGCAGTGGAATCCGCGAAAAATTTGCGGCAAGCAAACGTAAGCATAATTTCTCGTTGATTTTAATGCAGCCCTTATTTGTATACTTCAGTACTTACATTTGCTTTGCAGATTTGTCAGATACGAATGCTGCGCAGGATATTACAGGGTCGCTGGTCATCCCGGTTGCACGGGAGGTACTTTATTTAATTTACTTTAAATCCTGCACATAATACCAAGTTATTACTCTGTCTTTTTGCAGTGAAGCCGTTAATTAATCTGATAGAAACAGCACGACGTGCGGGTGCAATGAAATTTGCAAAACTGATCGAAAACTCGAATTTTGCGGAAGAATTGAGGGGTGGCTCTCCGTTGACGCTATTTGTTCCTTCTGACGTTGCTTTTGATGTAAGTTAAAAACTGGTTTAAGTCATTTGTGTTGATATTACAATGTCTAAGAAATTGAAAATTTACATACTTAAGTCTGAAATCAAAATTAAAAATAGGTGGTAATATACTTCTTGCACCACTTCTTTATTCTTAATTTTGTGAAAAATACCATATTTTGGAAGAACAGCTTCACCTTAGTCAGTTGTTACGCCAATGAAGATGACACATGCCAGTCCAACTCGATAACATCAATACTTATTTTACCAAATGTGAAATATTTTCAAGATGGAAGGGCGCAACCTTAAAATAAGAACGACGTTCGACTCATCTCACAATCCTGTGCCTGCCCGAAGAAGATTCACATACTTCCGTTTTACAATTTCCTCAAATTTTGTAGAAACATGTGCGGAGTAATTACAGTTAAAATATTAATTCTATGTCTGGTGCTCGATGCAGTCTGCGCTTATCAAAGAAGACCATGGAACGCTGAAAATACAGAAAGACCAGGGTGAGATTTTAACATTTTAGCTTTTAAGTACATAAAGGTAAAATGTTGAGCAAGAGATTTAAATTATCTAGTCATATGGTAATTACATGTTTTCTTTTTTAGACCCAACGTGTGTGCCGTAGAAGTGAACGACGATATAAATTACACTTATTACACCGAGAGCCAGCAGTGGAATCCGCGAAAAATTTGCGGCAAGCAAACGTAAGCATAATTTCTCGTTGATTTTAATGCAGCCCTTATTTGTATACTTCAGTACTTACATTTGCTTTGCAGATTTGTCAGATACGAATGCTGCGCAGGATATTACAGGGTCGCTGGTCATCCCGGTTGCACGGGAGGTACTTTATTTAATTTACTTTAAATCCTGCACATAATACCAAGTTATTACTCTGTCTTTTTGCAGTGAAGCCGTTAATTAATCTGATAGAAACAGCACGACGTGCGGGTGCAATGAAATTTGCAAAACTGATCGAAAACTCGAATTTTGCGGAAGAATTGAGGGGTGGCTCTCCGTTGACGCTATTTGTTCCTTCTGACGTTGCTTTTGATGTAAGTTAAAAACTGGTTTAAGTCATTTGTGTTGATATTACAATGTCTAAGAAATTGAAAATTTACATACTTAAGTCTGAAATCAAAATTAAAAATAGGTGGTAATATACTTCTTGCACCACTTCTCGATGCAACCGATTCAATTACCCATTCATAACTACATCAGCTAATTTTTTTGTTCACAGAATTACCTGAGAGTAAAGGGTATTCAACCAGAATGGCTGCACGACGGCAACAGGTACATAAATTTAATTGCAAATCACATAACGAATAAACGGGTGCTATCGAGTCAATGGCAAGAAAACTTATTGATCCCATCGAGACTACAGGGAAACGTTCTGAGGGTTAATAAATTTCCCAGTGGGGTAAGTAGCACCTCGCGCAAGGTTGCCCAACATAAACGATACAAATTATTCACCAAGCGATCCGGTTCGCACAGATGGAAACAGTAAATTGTCATCGGATTATTCGCAAGGATCAAATTGCCTGCAATGGAGTTGTACACGTAATTGACGGTGTATTGGATCTTGCATTGGCACAGAATTCGGACATAATTCAACTTGCTGCGAGGGACGGTAGATTCCAGATATTTATGAAGGCCCTTGAAAACAGCGAATTCGCGCACAGGATTAGGTACAACGAAATGCCCTGCACGATTTTTGCACCCACGGATGATGCTTTTCACGGCATTCCTCGGGGACAATTGAATGACATGCTCGCAAACCGAGATGCATTAAATGGTAAAAAATTAAAATCAAAATATTCATCTGCTCATTTGAATTGTTTGATTTTACATTTTTTATAGCAATGATTGCTCATCATATTGTTACCCATCCTGTCTGTATGTCTAACGTTATTTCGGAGTACCATGCACCCACCATGCAGCAGCAGTTGCTCACACTAAATTGTGGTCCACATGGACCAATCGTGGATCATGCAAATCTAAGAAATGAGATGTACCATGGAGAAAATGGAATGTTGTATATTCTCGATCGTGTATTGCTTCCGGATCGAGGTAAATATACTTCTGTATATGACACTGAGGAATTTACGAGCTGAATCTGTTTTAGCCAAATCGATTATGGATTTGATGAAAGAAGAAGGGGTGTTTACGTTCCTGAAGATAATCAGAACAGCTGAGTTGGAAGAAACGTTGAGACATTTGAAACGTCTTACAATATTCGCTCCATCAGAAGCAGCGATGTATTGTATGTATTTAATATAAATAAAAATATGTTCTTTTTAATCTTTTAAAATATTTGTCTGCAGCTCTCTCGAAACACCAGCTTGTAGAGCTGCAGAGGAATAAGGAAAGTGCTAGGAGATTCGTTTTCAATCACATAGTTCAGGGAGCGTATTTCACGTACGAAATTAGTAACAATCAAGTAAGTTACAGTTTAATTTCTTCGTGAACACGTTCTTATTTTAAAATTTATTATAGGTAGCCAGAACTCTTGAAACGGAGATTCCTTTACGCTTTCAAGTATACCCAGGAAACTTTGGAATAGAGAATGCTTTGATTGTAAAAGCCGACAGAGAATGCACCAACGGCGTTTTACATATTATAAACCATGTTTTACATCCCGCCGAGGAATCTTTAGATAATATTTTAAGAAGAGATGGTAATTTCAGGTAATTTTCATATTCCACAAATTATGCTTTTCAAACAGTACCGTTAGCGTCATCTGGAGTTGAGTCTGAAAACTGACGGAGCATAGTTCTTTTGTTAAACAGATTTTGCCGTTAAATTAACAATAGTATATTGTTCTCACACGACAGTAGCGCATTGTATTGTTAACAAAAGAGCACAGAAGCTTATAATAAAAGGGGAATTGTTAACTTGTGGTTTGTTAATTTCACCGCTTCCCAGGTGATGACGACACTAGTACTGTTTGGAGAGCGCGCAGTAATATGAAATTTAAAAACGTAGAAACCTAGCATATTTTACTTATATCAAGTATAATATTATCTCTCAATAACTATTATTTATAAATAGTTACAATTTCCCAAGTTACAAGATGTCTCAGAGTTCCGAAACAAGTATAAAAATTCATTTACATCAATGTTTATTTAATTAACAGCATTTGCCAGTAAAATAAGTTTGAAGTTACGATGAAAGAATGACTCGTGCGTCATATAATTCCTGTCGCATTTTATATTATTGCTATTCGACTTTGTCGAATGTCTCATTTACGTAAATATCATTTACGTAACCTGTTCTTCTCAAATAATTACGACGATAAGATATATACAACCTACTGCATATAAAAGAAGCATTATCTTACACACCATGTAGTTATGGTTAAGATACTATTTACCGAGCGTTCTATACTATTAATTTTTGTATAAAGTCTACGAGAGATGTATAAAAACACCAGATATTTTGTCATTAACATTTTATTATTGAATCGATAAATTACTACTCTTGTTGCATGCAAAGTTCTCTTGAATTATGATCAAAGAATTCGTCGTCAATTGGTTTCACTGTTTGCATTGTACTCTGATCAATTACATACTGCGACATTAGTGATACTCTATCTGTAGTAGTGTGTAATAACAGATAAGTTGCCATTATAGATATCTAACACCTAACGCCTGTCAGTTATATCAAGATATGTATTTCCGCCTACTTTATCATCATGACTATTTGAGAATATCTAATAGGTTACATAAATGACATTAGAGACAGTAGACAAAGTCATATAAATATGGAAACCAAACACGGTAGGACTTATACATCAATCTATGAATCACATCTTAATAACTTCAGTACACTTCGAATAAATGTTTACTCATTTTTTTAAAGCTAGACTTCAACCAAGATCATCAATTTTTCCTTTTGTCTATTTCTGTAGTTAGATGTCTGCTTGCACCATCTGTGAGACACCCTGTACAAACTTTTCATTTCTTAAATACAAATTACTGTGATGCAATTTTCCTTCTAAAATTATTGCAGCATTTGGTTGGATGCAATGGAAAGAATAAAAAAAGTCCAGCCGCAAATATATGATCAATTTAAACACCCAAATTCTTCGTGCACGTACTTTATACCTTCTGACCAGGCATTCAAACGGCTGGGGAACGTGAAACTTCAGAAATTGTTGCAAGATAATAACTACTTATCGAAGGTACTATCGTGAAAGAAACATTAAAATTGGGAATAAGATTTTTAATATTTTTTAGGTGATGAAAAATCACATCGTGGATAATATGATGATTTCCGAAAGCTTCAGACCGGACCTTCAATATACCTTGAAGACTAAAGGAGACATGGTATACGTTGTACGAAAAGACAACAAAGTATTGGTGAGTAATTTCATTTATTAAAAAAGTTAGAATTTTATAATTAATTTGTTCTTTTAGGTGGACGACGCAACTCTCGTGAAGTGCGATATTTTAAATAAAGCTGGAGTGGCTCACGAAATAAACTCGGTACTGCTGCCTGAACATTGCTCGCGGTACAGAAAAACATTTAATGGAATGGGAAAAAAACTATGCTAATTAAAATAAATCACAAATATGAATATTTAATGTTATTTTAACTTTTTATGAGTTATAAATATAAATGTATTCTATACTATTCTGCAGAGTAAAAAGTGTTAATGATTATTCGGACAACCTATTTATAAGTAACACAGAAAAAAATTTGAACTCTGTATATGAGTGAAATGCTGCTAACTGCGCAAAATGGCTATAGGCATTTTCGTTGCTTCGTGCAGTTGGTCACTCTTACAAATTTGTTTAGTCGCAAGCGTCTACCGGGATTAGTGTATGCCTAATTGTATGAGATCATGACACTTGACTCGAACAAAGAAAGACACAATTTGTTTAATAGCCTCTCTATTTTATTGAAAGCCGTTGAAAATGAACGGACAATTGTGGATCTTCGGAACGAAGCGTCAGTATGTGGGATCGTGGAGCACGCAGACGCGTAAGCGGTTTTCATTTGAGTATAGCTTTATTATTGGTCTAGTTTGTTCAAGTGTTTTTTTGGTTTTTTTCCTATTGCAGTTACATGAATATTGTAATGAGAGATTGCGTCTTTACTGATCCCAGAGGTGATTCATATAATTATGACATGTTTTTCGTTCAAGCACGAAACATACGCTTCGTTCATATTCCACCGAAAGTGAGTAATTTTAAAAGTTGCATTTTCCCGCAATTCCATGATAGAGTTATATGACATTATTTTTATTTTTAATACGAGCAACATCAGGTACATATAAACTACGTATCAAATGCAGAAAATAACTAACGTTATAAACAGGTTATTTCGGACGTATTATTATACATAAACATATCTAACTGAATGTTCTTTCGTTGCATCGAAAAATTTATAAAAAAAAAATGTAACCAATTCAGATAATTTTGATTGATAATGCACTAACGTTAACACGTTATCTAGGTACTTTTCAATTCATAAGTTGATAATGTACTTCCTAGTTAGATTATCAAGTAAAAATTTCGAAATTTTATTCACAAGCAAATATTGATATTTACAGTTTAATTACTTGGCGATAAAATGCGCACCTTATAAACAAGATAACCGTATTCCACGTGTCAAGAAATGTTAAGGACTTTGCTCACATTGTCTAGTCAATTGAAAACTTTACAAGTGTATAATAATTTGAATAGTAAAACTGGTGTTCATTTAAAATCTTTTACTTCTTTCTTGTCTTTTCTACGTTTGAAAAAATATTCCACAACAGTGTCAACTATCCCAGCAATGCAAGTTAATATGAATGCTTTTAAATTGACAAATTATGATTGTATCGGATTTGATTTAGATAATACGCTTCTGAATTACAATGTGACAAATTTGGTGCATTTGGTATATAACACATTAGCTGATTACTTGATAAAAGAAAAGGGTTATGACTCAAAATACTTATCAAAACCATTGGAAAATAAAGATTTAGATTTCATGCAGAAAGGATTGTTCTTAGACTTTGAAAAAGGAAATTTACTTAGAATCAGTGCTGATGGTACAATTCAAAGAGCATGTCACGGTACTAGTTTATTAAGTATTGAACAAATTAAAGAAATATATTGTGACCAAAGGTGGGAAGCCACAGATGCATTTTCTAAAGACATGCTATCAACGTGGAATGGACCTATATCAATGAAAATGAGAAGTTTATTAGATTACTTTGATATTTCTTCATCTGTTATATTTGCAAGATTAATAGATACTCTTGATGAAAAACATGGAGGACCTCTAAATTCTTATAATGTTTGGCCTGATATGTTAGATGGATTGATTGAAATGTATGATGCAGATCATTTTAAATTAGACAAAGGAGAATTCTTTCCTAGCTTGAAACAAAATCCTCATAAATACATGCATAAATGTAATGAAAGAACTATAAAATGGCTTCAGGAATTAAAAAAACATTGTATTACTTTTCTCATCACTGGATCAAATGTTGATTTTGTTAATTTTACTGCTACTTATGCCTTTGGGGAAGATTGGAAGTCTCTGTTTGATATTACTATTTGTTATGCAAGAAAGCCTGGCTTTTTTACTGAGCAACGTCCATTTTATGAAACTATAAATTATGAAAAAGGTGCTATAATAGAAAGCAAAGATTTAAAACAGGGTGGGATATATAATCAAGGTAATTGGAAAGGTCTTGTTGATTTCCTAGAATGTGAATCTGGTAAAAAAAATCCTCGTTGCTTATATATTGGTGACAATCTTATTCAAGATATTTATGTACCTAAAGCATATGTTCAATGTGATACAGTAGCTGTAATTGAGGAACAGATGGCTGAAGGAATGTTTCATCAGGGATTGTCACATCCAGATGAAAAAGTGTTAAATTCCACATTCTGGGGTTCTTATTTCTGCTTGAAAGATTCTAGAATTAATACTGATTCTTTATGGGGTTATGTTATAAAAAAATATTCGAAACTTTGCATACCTAACATAGATATTATAGCTCAAGAGCCATTAGAAAAAACTTATTTATGTTTCGTGGAAGATGAAAAGAAATACAGTGGATATTATCCTGCAGCACCTCTCAGTATATCAACTATCTAAGCTTATGTACATGTTGTTGCTATAGCTCTACTTCATGTAAAATCATTGTACAAATGTTCTATTACATTTATAATGTATTCTTAATTTAAGATACGTATTATACCAGCTATCCAGGAACAGTTGCAACAATTACTAAAGCCCAAAAGAACATTGGTACATCCTAAGCAAACATTTAGAACAAAACGAACAGAACAGAGGCAACAAGAAGGGCTAGCAGCAGTGGAGAAAATTTTGGAAGAAAGAAAAATGGCTGACAACGCTAATACAAATTAAAAGGTTAAATAATAAATAATTTATATTTTTGCAGTATATTTATTTACAATTTGATTCTTCATGTACAAAAATAATTGATTTGTACAAATTTTAAATATAGTTGGCAAATATATTATTAAAAATGTACTATTTCATAAAAGCAAATAAAATGATTTTACTTGCGCATACTGGTATTAGCACTTGGCTATTCTAACTTAGTTAAGAAAAATGGTAGTATAAATGTATGTTTTCGACATACAGTTATGCTTTTTACACATTCTACTTCTTATAATATTAGCTACTCTTTATTATAGTAGTATAAAGTCATTTAATACTTTAACAAATACTTGATAAAAATAACAATAATAATATGTGATTTATTCACATACCGTCATGTCATAAAATAACTATGCATAAATGCCAACAAAATTCTGTTCCTACAAAATAAGCAAATTTAACTAGATCAATTATTTGCTATTTTCTTTGAACAGCAATTGCTATTCCCATTCCACCACCAATACACAAGGAAGCAACACCTTTATTTCCACCAGTTTGTTCCAAAGCGTATAATAATGTTACTAATACTCTGGCACCTGAAATACATTTATAACAATAATAAGAATAGAATCGATAAAATATATGGAAGTTTGGATATTTTAAATACCAGATGCACCAATAGGATGACCCAATGCAATAGCCCCTCCATTTACATTAACTTTACTTCTATCTAAGCCAAGAGAATCAACACATGCTATTGCTTGTGCTGCAAATGCTTCATTTAGTTCATATAAGTCCACTTCATCTTTAGTCCAGTTTGCTTTTTTCAACTGAAACAATAAAGTTCTTTTAAATGCACAGATTTCAAATTACAATATATGAATCTATTTTAATATACTAACCACTAACTCAACTGCTGGAACAGGACCTATACCCATAATCCTTGGTTCTACTCCAGCTTGGGCTACAGCAACAATTTTACCTAATGGAGAAAGTCCTCTTTGAGCTGCAACTTCTGCAGACATGAGAACCACTGCAGCTGCTCCATCATTTATACCTGAAGAATTACCAGCAGTAACAGTACCATCAGTCTAGAAATAACATGACATTCCAAATAATGATTACATGATCATTTTTATTTATAAAGAAAACATGTATGACAGTTCTTACTTTCAAAAAGTTTGGTCTAAATTTTTGAAGACTTTCAATGGTTATTCCTAACTTAGGAAACTCATCTTTGTCCACTATGGTTGTTTCTTTCTTAGTAAGTACTGTTACAGGAACAATTTCTTTATCAAAGAGGCCTTTATTAATTGCAGTTTCTGTTCTTTTCTGAGATGTCATTGCATATTGATCTTGAGCTTCTCTACTTATATTATAATCCTTAGAAAGATTTTCAGCTAGGGAACATTTATACACTTGTGAATACAAGTTTATAATAAGAATAAAGGAATAAAACATAAAAGAGATTTTCCTATACCTGTTATTCCCATATGAATTCCATGAAATGCATCTGTTAATCCATCATGTAGTAAAGTATCTACTAAAGTACCGTCTCCTAATCGTACACCATTTCTAAGATGCATTGCATGTGTTGCCTGACTCATGCTTTCTTGACCACCAGCCACAACAATTTGACTTTCTCCAGCTTTTATGGACATATAACCACTTATAATTGCTCTAAAACACATGCATTTTATAAAAAATAATCTACACAGGCAAAATGAAATTAAAACTTTGAACAAATGATAACAACATTCAATTTCAAAGTTAATGAAAGTTTACATTAAATGCTTACCTTAATCCAGAACCACATAACATATTCAGGACATATGCAGGTACAGTTATAGGAATGCCTGCTTTCATAGCTGCCTGCCTTGCTGGATTTTGTCCATGACCCGCAGTTAATACCTAAAATAAGAAATATTTAATGTTAAAATTATTAACTTTGTTTAATCTATATTCATCAATTAACATAACATAAATTATTTATAAATATTATCAGCATGTATTCATTATCTTTGTCTCCCACCAACATCTTTTTATTTCAATTAAATTATAATAGTCTTCTTTTCAGAAGCAATTGATTCAGATATCTAACTGTAAAATCATAAAAATGTTTTCCCACAGATAGGAGCAAATTAGAATTTCAAATTACTTGTCCAAATATAACTTCAGAAACATCTGAGGCTTGAACATTGATCCTTGCAAGACTTTCTTTAATAACAACACTGCCCAAATCTGATGCTTTCAGCGATGATAAGGATCCACAAAATGATCCTGAAAATAATAAAATGTTTCTCAAAGGCAAGCAGAAAATACAAAACAAATTATTATGATTGTACAATTTTATATGTCTTATTGCACATGTGAAAACAGTAAAAATCTTTCACTGTTACAAATGGAACCTTATACTGTTTTAAATACAAATTAATATCATTATATCCAACAGAAGGATTCTTGTTAATTGTAACATTCATTGTTTATATGATGTCATTTAAACTGATTTAATATTATACTATATAGTAGATTTAATTATTATTTATTGTCAATATGTTAAAACTTGCAAAGCATAGTGTTATACCTATGGGAGTCCGGACAGCCGATACAATCACAACATCGTCACTACCCATGTTGTTAACTTCTTTAAAATTACGTCTAAACTTGACAAAATCTGAACGAAGACTGCCGCCACGAACGAGTATAACGGAAATAAGTAGTTAAAGTGGTTAAACTGTTGGGGACGTACACCAGTAACGGCTTAATGAAAGTATGTCAAAGAAAATGTAGGCGCATTCTTTTGTAGATAGTTCCTGGTACAACTCTTAAAAGTCTTTTTAGTACAAATTTTATTTATTTTAAAAACATTAAAAAAAATCCCCATCGGCTACAGATACAAAAAAAAACGCGTATAAATTATGTTCATACATAACGATATTACAAATCAGATAAAAATGTAGGACACGTCGATGAAACGATTAAACATCAAAGATACATAAAATTTCGTTAAAATTTTATATCATCCAAGAAATAATTCGGGGGATTCGTTTAGGGACCTCTACAGATCCAGGTAAGCACAATACATCCCTGTCCAACGTCACCGGCTGATTGACTTCTACCTCATCGTACAGGTGGCGCTGAACCACCAATCGTTGTGCCGTGGTGATGCTCGTTTGTTTTTACCCAGCGTGCATTGTGAACAGTGACTGGTGCTAAGATGGCCGACAACATGGAGGAGATTTCAGAGCTCGTCGAAAAGCGAGGTATTTATTGCAGTTTCTCGATTTACTTCTCGTGATTGCCGTTTAGAATAAAAGCTCGATACACGGCAAGCGCGTCGACGATCATGGCCGGTCGGGATGATCCGTAATTGCTGCAAAAATCACGCCATCTGCACGCACAGTACCCCAGGAGGAATGATCGCGAAAATCGTCGTGAATATACCAACGAATCGGGCCCGTTTTCCCTACCTTTCGCAATATTCACGGTACTCGTGGCTAAGCTAACCTAGGTTACGTTGACAGAACATGCCTGTCATAGCGACGTCAATCGCGGCCAGTGCCAAACATGCCACCTTTTTGACAGGCTTACATACGTGCACATTCGGCTGCACGACACCCTTCGTACACAGTGTGCGTAGTACGTACAAGCAGACAGAACACCGTGTTCGTTCTCGTGTGTCCGCCTAAGCGCTATGCTCGTTACTCATTAAGGTCATACGTCGACGGCCTTGCAATTCGCACCATCGCTGAGGTAATCTCGACTCGAGATTACCGTTATCTCTTACCGCGAATTTACTGCCGGCTGATTCGTCTGTAACACCTACGTTCTGGTGCCGTGGTGAGCGCGTGTTGCCCACGGTTATCCCGATCACGGTGTTCGAACTTCGCCCAGCAAAATCGTTAGCATCGGGAGGCGCAACGTGTTCGCTGATAATCCTCCGGTTAAACACCGACACGATACGTGCTACCTGAATTTCCTCCTGGAATATTCGATCCTCGATATTACACGCATCCTTGTACTACGAACCAGTTAATTTTATTGCTATCCGATAAGAGATTGCGCATACATCAGCGATGTTTTTGCTTTTGTTTTGATACCGAACCGCAGGGAGGGGGCTATTACCGTGTTTAGTAACACGTGGCGGTGTCTATTGTTCCTATCACTTCGACGCGATTTAATTCGACGCGATTCAATTCGGTGATACTCCGAGCGATTTAATTCGACGCGATTCCATTTGCCACGATTCAATTCGAACTCATGATTCAATTTGCCGGCTTTCAATTCCTCGTGTTTCAATACTTCCCACGTTCAGATTCAATATCACACATTTCAATTATGCGGTTCCGGTGCAATTCCGCTTAGCCAAGATTCAATTACGTCTAATTCGATTCATCGTTTCAATTCGATCCAATTTACTCGGTTCCATTATATTCGGTTTCCAAACTTTATCGTATTAATTTGAACAGGCCGATGACGTTAAATGAGCAACGCTCAGTGTAAACTCGTATTTTCAATATAATGCGTTTAATTCTTTTAACCTTTAATACGCAACGGTATCAACCGTGTGTTTAGCATACGAGTCATTATCTCGACCATCTCCGTTCGACATATAATGATATTCTTTCGGACAATATTTTCCGATTGGCCATGTCACGATCGCGAGGTGATCAATCGTGATTTCGTGGTGCAGCTCGCTATAATGCGATTAACTGTCACACACGCATCGCACGTACCGTGTGCCAACGTCCTGTGGTACATCGATGTACACACGTCGAACCAGTTTCCATGCGTCTTTATTAGAATTTTCTCGTGAACATATCCCGCTTTTAATACGTCGTCGACGCGTATTGTAGCAAGAAGGATATCGAGTCAATTCATTTCGCGAATCGTCGGAGGTGTGTCCCGATCGCGTGACTGCCACTTCGATTCTTCTCAACGTTTTTCCTTTAATATCCGATGAATCCATTCGGGAACTCCTTTGTCGATCCTCTGACGCTACCAACATCGTTATGATAGCGATCTTATGCAGACTAACGGATCAATATCCTGGCTCACTATTTTGTGCCGTTTTCTATGAGCGTTTTTGCACAATTTCATCAATTTAGACGTCAAGTTTTTCAAGTGTCCCTAATGGAGATGTCGGATGAATTACAGGATTTACGCATATTTACGATCTTGTCTGAGTATAATTAATGCGTTGTGTTTTTAGAAGTTCAGTTGCAACAGTACTATTGCATTGTTTGAACTGTTACAACTTTGCTATGAATATTTCGCTAACTAGCCACCACGTGTTTTATGCGGTTTCTCCGCCTTATCGCTGGATCGTACCAGCTGGCATTACACATGCCTCAACGAATTTCAGCGGAAGGAAGTCAGCTATTTGTGCATGTCGTATGCTAGTACTTAAATTTCGAATTTCAAGTTCAAGTCGAATCGTTAATCTCTCCTTTCTGCACCAAATATTTTTGCAGCAAATTTAAAATTCACTTAAATTTCAAATTTGGTGAAGATCAAGTTGAATCTTTGATCTCCTTGCTGCACCAAATTATTTAAATTTCGAATTTGGTTAAGTTCAAGTTGAATCTTTGATCTCCTTGCTGCACCCAATAAATTTACTTAAATTTCAAATTTGGTCAAGTTCAAGAATCTTTAATCTCTCCTTGCTGAAATAAATTAGTTGCCAAAAGCCCACATTGAATTTTTATGAAACCGATAACAAAAATATTATTGTTATTGGTGGCAATTATTTTGAACGCTGTAATTTAAAATAATTGTCTTAACCTTCTAATTGACTTAATGCCCCATTTCGTTTCTTAAGTTACATAATAGTTTATTATTATTAGGGCACCTTATAGTTCGAAAATAAGGTCGTTTGCGTTTGATGTTCTTAATTTTGCTATCAGCCTAGTTATTAACCGGTATGTAAATCATTCTTTTCCGGCTTAACGGAAGCCACCGAGATATATTTGATACCATCCAGTTTCGACGTGCAGCTTTTTATTTCCACGTTTATCCTGGAATCTCGCGTTGGAGCACTTGACATTTTATAAATCAGACTTCTTGGTGCGTGGGTCGGAAAAACAAGTTTTCCATTTAATTTCTTGGAATCCATAAATTATTACTTTCACAAGCATTATTCCTACTTCCAACAATCAATAGCATAATTGTTGCTCGTGATTAGAAAATAAGTTTGATCGAATATGTGACAGGGCGGTCAATTCGATGGGTCGCGGCTTTTATTACCAATTAACTCTAACAATCGTACAATTATGTACAATTAAATCATTGTCCGAAATTACCATTGTAATCCACGTTAACCGCGTGGTCGTCAGTAGCATTATACGGAGCATAGTTGTCATGATATAGCGAGGTCGTAAAACAAAGCGCTAAGACCTCGAGTTATCTCGCTATATCATACTTAGAGTATGACTTTACAGTAGAACTTTATTATACTGTCACCTTTATATCATCACTTTTGATTTTGAGATATCATCAGGTCAAAGAAAACTTGCTAAAAAAATTTTGTATAACGCCATGTTGGTGACAATATAACGATTTCTACTGTACTGCTACGTTTCCATATGACGCGGCGCTAATAAACGAAGCCTCGATAGATATTTCCCGTTGATCTGCTCTATTTGCCGTTCCATTCGTTCGGTACGTGCCAGCGATAGCGAAACAACGTCCCGAACATCCAACGTATTTTCTCTTAATATTTTACGATAAGCATGGGGACCATAGGTCGATAGCTCGACAAAAATCCTTCTTTATCTTTCCATTTTCCCCGGACGTTTTCTCTAGCGGTAAATAAACCCAGACCACTCGAGACGATGCAGTTGCAACAGATGACGGGGATGCTTAAGTAGGCTGCATTTATTTATTCGTGGTGTAGCGTAGAGTATTCGATAACGGTACATCATTGTTTTGGCGTGGTCAGAAGCGTTTTCAGCGAGCACGGTAATCGTCGACTCAATTCTCTCCACATACTTTATTCATACGTCGGATGCATTACGTTTTTTCTCTCGATAGTCGCTTCCTCGAGCGGATAAATGATCGGCTTTCGAGGGTCCGTGTGCGTGGCCGCAAATCATTGCCTCGTCTCGTTTCGTTCCACTTTGACCTCGAATCGTCGGTACATGTAGTCTGTTTAACAGAACCGTTTGATAATCCGACCTTTCGAATCGATACGTTAACTGACGCCTTTCATTCACCGGTACCAATACATCCAAGCATAGAATCGAGTAAATCGAAAATGAGCTGTGAATCATAAATACTCAAATCGTCACATGGTCCCCAAATTTGGACGGAATTTCTACAAGACGGGTATTATCTAATGGGACGAAATTTCTACAAGATGGGTATCATCTAATTTGCAGCTTCCATAAGACATTGCAATTTCCGTTTCGAAACATATCTTTCATCGGAACAAACCATAAACGAAAAGCACCCGGTTCCTGCCATTTCGCCGGTTCCTACGGTGCCACGTGCACACGAGGGGATGTAATAAACAGGAAACGATGCAGAAAGCTTTAAATTGGTCGGCATTTGCGCGACAGCGAATCGTCAAAGGGAAGGTAACCCAAGCGTCGTTTAACGAATTGTCCCGTTCTATTGACGAGTGCTAGAGCCTTCGACGCAATTCCACATGTGGTGGCTCCTCGCGCTACGAGAATATCGATCCTCCCACATCGTTTCTTCGTCGTAAACTTCGTGTTCGTAGCTACTGTCGCCCCTTTCACGATAAGTTTCACTCGTGTACTCGAACGTATTGTGTTTCCGATCGAGATCGTGGCTCCATGGGATGACTACTAATTACCAACGCAACGCTGCACCGTGTAATACGCACTAATTATTTTAACACCGTTACGTAATCATTGACCGTTTTCGTTTCTAGTCTGGCAGAGTCGTTCACGGAATTGTGCGTGGAAAAAAGAAAACGAAATGAATTACAACATCGACATTAAAGCTATCTTTTATTTTAATACGATAGAACTACTATTTTTAGTTTAAGAATGGTCATCAACAAATTTTGTTATATTTTAGCAAAAGGCTTATCGCCTAAGTTTCATTTTCGAAATTCACTTATCGGGGACATTCTACAGCTCCTACTGACACGAATATTTTTGTTGTCAGAGTCAGCGAGACAGGCTGTTTACATTCTGCCTCGATAAATATTCATAATTCCAGCATTTAACACGACCGATACTCGCTGTTCGAGTATTCAAATGTACGAATGCTCTTGTCCGATTTTGAATCGCTA